ATAATAATAATAATAATAGACAAAAAAGTGAATGGTGGAACACAGCTAATAAGCTGGCTTCCTCCATTTTGGAGGATCATGCTGATTTTCTTTGCACCCCTGAGCAAATCCATAGTGCAGCTATTCCATTGAGATTAACTGATTTCACCGATTGACTGGGCCTTTACTCTGCAACAGATGGTGACTTCACCTGGAACCAAAGACCAGCCAAGAGCAAATGGCCTGTTTTTCACCATTAGATGTCAGGCTTCACACACACACTTTAAGGTTTTATCAACACTTTTAAACTATATACTATATATGTGGCAAAGCCTTTATAAAGCAACATTCAAACTGAAATCTGTAGTAAAGCTTTTTTGCTCTGGTTCATCCTTCTCTTTCATGCTTTTTCTCCTCTCATTCATTTCTTCTCACACTCTTGTAATAGACTCACTGTTTTTCTCAGTTTGTTTCTCATCTCTCAGGTACCTCTGCCTCCCAGCTCCTGCCAGACAGATGACTCATACTTCTGCTGGTGGTCTATGCGATGGCCTCCGTTAGAGCGCTCTGCCAGGTTCTACCCCAGTCAGGATCCACGTGACACTGGAGTGTTCGACATCATTTTTAAACATAACATAATTAATACATTTTGCACCTATTCCGATGTGGCTGAGTCTTCATTAGTAGTTAAGATTCAGTGTAAATGGCACAGGTAATTACTTTAAGATTCTTTTTATACAAAACTGTCACTCACTGCACAAAAGCTGCTGCTAAACCCGTAAAAATATAAAATGGTTAATGAGAGAAACTGAGAGATGGAGGGAGGGAGATAGAGAGAGGGGTTAAGAGCGAGAGAAAACGAGGAAGAATAATATAGAGAGGGATATTCTCTTCTAAAGCCTCTTACCATTAAGCATTTACAGCTTAAGAAAGGCACTGGAAGGTCAGTCAAGGAGGCGTGAACCAGGACATTACTGACACATTTTAAAAAAGAGGAGGATTGTGAATGTGTGGGCTCCCTTCTGTGGCTGTATAGGACAGCTGTGCAGCAGAGCCAATGGGCTTTTTACGCAAATTAAACGAGGAGAATTGTTTCCCCTCTCATCTTCTCATATGACCCTCCAGCGACTCAGGTTCCTGTTTAAATATTCACCTGGTGTCTCTTGGCGTCATCAGCTATTGAAATTTAAATCCAGGGGAGAGAACTTGAATGCGATAGGAGAGTGGCAGTGGGGGTGATTTTGGTTTTAATCCCACGGGAGTTTGAGTTTGTGTTTCACTCTCTTTAATTAAATAACTTTGTCAGGATGAAACATGTCAGTTTCATTGACTTTATTACTAATAATTTAAGGTCCAACAGTGAGGGCCCACCACTGCTGGAAAACACGGAATAAACACTCAAATATGCTCACAAAGGTCAGCAATGATTCACCATCAGTTCAGTCAATTCAATTTACCCCATTAAAACAGAAATGTCTGATAACTGAAGTGAGAACATCCATTTGCAATTGCCTGTCAGAACTGTTTCATGTCAAACAATTTCCAGTAATTTAATTGCAAAGTGAATCAATTTCCTGCGTTGATGTTAACTGATAGTGACTTCATCCATACTGGCTGTGGCCCCTAGGTCGCCTTGTTACTGCAGGTGCTGGCCCATGATAGTAGACTTTGTGGTGTTTATGATGTGTGGCGCATGTGTGTCAGAGCCACATTCTTGTTGTGATCACAGAGTGTTTGGTGCAGGAGATTTTAAAGGCGCAGTCTTGAATTTGGGGTTTTGACAGTTCACTTTCTGGCACAACAAACCTGATTCGATTCAAATCAACTCTTGTGGATTTGGCAGTTGGTAAGGTTGGTTTGGGTTGGTGTGAAAGCTGGACTCAACTGGACTCTGCAGGCTGAATGACCGGACCGAGATCTGCTTTTAAATGAATGCATCACTAATAATAATCTAATTTGATGCTAATACTTTGTACTTTTAATTAAGTGGGATTTTGAATGTATTTTTTACATCGTGGTATTGTGACTTTTACTTGAGTAAAAGAGCTGTGTACTTTTTCAACCACTGCCTCCATGCACTGGATGCCTATGTTGCCTAAACCACTAACTGTCTTTTTTGGATGCGCATTTTCTTGATGCGTTTTTTAAGTTGTTGTTTTTCAGTCAATTTTCTACTACTGTTCTGGACCATAACATTTGTTATAACTTTAACACAGATAAAACAATGATTATTTTTGTGGATACTGAATCTTAGTCATTGGCATACTGTCAAGGCCTCATGGGAGCACTTTTTCAGAACTGTCACGCTCACGTAAATGTGTTTGCAATCAGGCAAAAGTGGGAGGTTTGGAAATTAGATTGTCTTCTCCAAAACAAACCAGAGAGAGAGAGTGTGTGTGTGTGTGTATTTCTTTGCTAAACACTGCAATGTATCAAATCACAAAAAGATGAATGAAAATGTGAAACTTCAATTGTTTTAATTTAAAACTGCCACATCTGATCTGATTCGCAGTGGAAATTTTTTTTTTTTTTTCCAAATGAAATGATGTGCTAATAGGGAGAACAATTGTTGCAACAATCACTGAAGGCCGATGAAAAGTATTCATAACCTCCCATAAATATTGTCTTTCCTAGTAGAAAGCAGCAGTAGAAACTGATGGCTGCACTTACAAAAGTAAATTTTTTGGGAGAATTTAATCACATCTATGCAAAGATCAAGTTTTCAACATTTCCTCAGAAGTATATTTTCAACATAAATGTGCATAAACCACACTTTTCACATTTACAGGTTTCATTTTATCCCTTTTTTATTTTACACAACATAACAACACAGTACATGTTGTCTTTTTCTGTACAGAAGCTTTCCGGGAGCTTGTGACCAACACAGGCTGTAGTATACCAATGTCAGTGAAAAGCTCACAAGGTTTTTATGTTCTTTTTTTTAATTCTTCCCTTTAAAAAATATCAATTTCATAGGAGATACGTTAAGTCTTCGTCTGTTTGTTACTTTTTGTCTCAGTTTGTGTCTGTCTACATGTCAAGAAACGTCTGTACTCCTCAGTAGGTAAGAAAGGCTATGTGTGAAATCTCTCTCTTCCTTTGTTCGTCCCCTCCGTCCTAATCCCTCGTTGTGGAGCGTGGTGGAGTCCTAGATCCGGTTATATCATCTGTCAGAGGGTCTGTTAGTGCAAAAGAAGGCACCGACTGCTGTTCTCTTGCCACGGTATGGACAAACACTTCCTGTCGGCGTGTGAGCGTAAGAATGGTGTGCTTTTCAGTTCTTGGATTGTTTTTTTATTCCTCTTTTTTTCCTGTAATAATTCCCTTTTCGTGGTATTTTCAGATAAGGTGAGTGTGAATCGGGAAATGACGTGTCGAGCCCATTGTCTTGTTTTCTTTTGTGCTATAAAGTGGAACCAACGAGACAACTCAAGGACGCTACGAGACAACGCGAGTTATCCACCCGCCGAATGACAGATAGGAAACTGTCAAAGTGAAAAAACAAACTGTAAACTGAATAGAAAGAATTGTGGAGAAAAAAATATGAAAACGATACAAAAATAACAGGCTGAAAAAGAAAAAGTATGCTCATGCTTTCACCCAGAAACACACGGTCATCAACTCACACATCTATAAACAAAATGTTCCGACATGAACACACACACACACACCAAAAACGCACAACACACGCACTGTTTCATATGTCACAAACACACCTTTGTTTGTTAGCCTTCACTCACACACCTCTAAACAAATTCAAACTAACACACACACACACACACACACATAACTGCAGGCACACACTCACACAAAGGATGGACAATAATGAATAAAAACCAAAGTTTATTGGTTGCTGTCTCGTTCCAGTTCAAACCGTGCTTTCTAAGATCCAGTCCGAATCACACCGCCCTTTGTCCGAGTCTCCGTCACCGTCTTTCGGTAGAAGCATCCCGCTCATTGATTGGCTCCTTTTGTTCCGCATTATGCGCCCTAATTTGGGCGGTCCTCCTCCTCCGCCCTGATGGGACAAGTGAGTCTTTGAGCTGCCTCCTTCACTGAGGGAGTACCTCCTCCTCGCCCTGCTCCTCCCTCCCTCCTCCACAGGGAGAGTCTGGTACTTGGCAGGGTTGGAGGAGGAGGCCCGAGGAGCCCTACGTAGGATGGGCGTCTCTCTGAATCGGATGGAGGGGACGGGGCTCGGGGGGACGAGAGGGCTGGAGAAAGGAGAGGGGGCGTAGGGAGGAGGGGTTTGGTTGAGAGAGGTGGAGTTGTTGCGGTTGGTGTTGAGGTTCTCCAGAGGGGTGGAGGAGGGGAGGAGAGCAGAGGAGGCGGCGGAGGAGGAGGAGGAAGGAGGGCGAGGGGTGGAGGTGGGGAGATTTTCAGTAGTAGCCGTGGTGTTGGAGCAAGCGGAGCCTGGCTTACTCGTAGCGGGCTTCCGCTTTGGCTTATTTAGTGAACCGGTGGCGGTGGTGGGTGACGAGATGACAGCTCTCTCTTCACCTGCTTTCTCCTGTTCCTCGCCTCCAGCTGTTGGGCTTCTGGCTGCCCAAGGCTGGCTGAGAACAGACGTAGCAGTGGAGCAGTCAGGCAAGGAAGAGTCGGACGACTGAGTCATCGTATCCTTGCCGCCTCCTCCTCCTGCTCCGCTCCTTTTCTTTGAGCCTCCTGAGAGGTCATCTAATCCGATTGAGCCGTGTTTGGAGGCGCTGGGAGTCACAGTGCATCCCTGCGACTGCTGCCCATTGGTCTGTGAGTGAACGTTGGTCATCGACATCGAAACACCTTTACCCCCCTCACCAGGGTTACACACCTGTGGAAAAAACAGATGGAAGCAATGAGGTGTTGCTTCTTCCTTTCCCACTGAAATATGTAGGGCTGAGCAAACTGGCAAAAAATATTATTTTTTCATATCATGAAATAAATCAATGCAGTATGTATGTATGTTGAGCTCAAACATTACCTTTAGCTTAAAATGCCATTGTAGGTAATTTAAAGAGCGTGAAAATTAATAATAATATAAGCTGCAAACAGAATCTATTTAAATATATAAATTATACAAAATGATCATAAACTTCAACCATTTCAGTCTAGATCCTGCAGTGTGAAATGTTTGAAGGCAGCGACCTTATGTCTTGAGTCGGTATGATTAGCTTTGTTTCTGTCATATAATAGGTTGTTTAATATAACTTTTGAGAACATTTTCTATTACAGTCAGTAAGTGAGTGGACAGTTATTTTACATATTTATTAAAGTAATTTATTTGAAAAATATTTTTTTCTTACATGCCAGTTTTGTTTGGAATAGAAACAGATATTAACAGATATTCCAGATATTTCTTCCTCTGCCTTTTCATGATAAAAGTTTACAGATGTTTAAATAACAACAGCTAGAGCATTCCTAACCTGGGGCATGAGGTAACTGGACATTTGACTCACGTAAAGAAAGTAAACTCAAAAAGATGAAATATTTTAATGATAAAAATGAATTACTCATCAAGTCAAAATGATGTAGGAATCAAAGTGGATAAATATTAAGTCAAAATAATTATGTAAAGTCAAAATGATGACCCTTTAGCTCAGTGGTTAAGAAACAGTATGTATGACATTGATTCCAGTTAGGCATCTTTAGTACATGGAGAGCCTTGTGCTATCAATATGCAAATCAAATGAAAAAACTAACAAAAACAAAAACCCCAAAACCCTTAAAAACAACTTTCTGTTTAAAAATTGAATTAATTGCATTTTATGTTTATTTTTATCATTCCAAACCTTTTATGATTTTCTTTCCAGGCAGAAATGGGCTTCCATACTAAGGTCAATAAGACGTGATAATCATGTAGAACTATACAGAATCAGTGGGATATGGGTGGATGCTGCGATATACTGTTACTCAAATTTTCAAAAATGTCTTGTGAGTGTTGTCAGCTCATCAGAATTAGACCAGGCCAGCATACAGCCACCGCGTGAGTAATGCCAATCTACCCACATAATGAAAAGCTCTCTCCTCTTATTCTCTCTCCTATCTGGCCAGAGTGGATTAAGCGAGACAGACAGAGACCCACCTTGTACCGTATCATCAGTATAATGATGAAAACGAGCACAGAGGCTACTATTATCCCTCCGATGATGATGATCATAGTCCCGCCGAGGAACTGAGACTGCATAAAATGACACCTCATGTACTCTGACTCGGTGGTGAACTGCACACAGCCGACCACACGTGTGGCTGTCAGCGAGGTGATGACATCATCGTAGATGGCCAGCACGCAGAGGTCGTACTGGGTCCCTGCGGCCAGGTTGTTGACCAGGAAGTTCTTGCTTGATGGGGGGATCATTCTGTGGCAAAAGAGAGGGTCAGAGAGGGAGGGGAGAGGAAAGAAATACAAATGTTAAATCGTTGAGGGCATTAACAGAGTAGATGCACGTTGAGGAAGAGCAATGTACAATGGGAAGGTTAGGGTTTGGATTCCCACTTGGACCAATGTAACAGCTTTTTTAAAAGCTAAACCGTTGTAATTTATATTGTCTAACACGAGGAGTGGTTCTAGCAACAGTTAAATTTTTCAGATTTACACACCCAGTTAGGAAACATAGCAACATAAGCATTCATTTAGAAACATATTTTTGTCTTCCTGATGAATGGAACTCCAATAATCAGCGTCCTTCCAGCTCTGGTTTGATCTCCACCAGCTCCTGAGCAACTTATCTGGCTCTTTAGATGCTAAATGTGCCAGTTTGTTAACCAGCTACCAGCTGTCTGCTGTTTGGTGCTGGGCAGGTGGCATACAGTGGAACTCTTGCGCTGGTGGTACAACCAAAACAATGAGCTAAAAGATGCTAAAAACACTTCATGACATGAACTGCATGACACCTTTCAGAATCAAGTATTCATGTGATCCATTGTTAATATAAATGTAGTGATTATATTTGCTTTAAACAACTCTCATCACACAGCATCAGGAGCAATATAGGGTTCAGTATCATGACATCAGACATGTCGACGTGCAGCAGGAAGAGCTGGGGATCAAACCACCAACCTTCTGACTAGTGGACGACACGCTCCACCTCCTGAGCCACAGCCGCAAGATTACAAATGATTAAGAATCAATGCACTCAGCTCCACTGTGTATAGCTGGGTGCTGAATCCTCGAAAACCCCAAAGTCATCAGCAGGACAGGAGACCAATTAAATGATTTATTATTGCACGGGTGTTTCTGGTTGCCCTTCCTTAGGGTGCTAACTAGCAACAAAGTTCCACCCAGGCAGGGGTGGAGGCTACAAGGGACATGGTTTTCAGCTCGGGGTGAATCAATCCGGATTTGCTTTTAGACAAATACAAAGGTACTTTGCCACTTTGACTTGAAGTTGGTTATTCTTCACTGGATATTTGTCACATTGACTACAGGATTTGCACATTTGTCCTTCAGTTTCCCTTAAAGGGCTTGTCAGCTTTCCTGGATTTCCTCATTAAAATGCTAATGAAATTCCTCATTAAAACCAAGGAGGGCTGCTAGTTCACAGCTCGCGGCCTCATGTGCACTGAGAGGAGCAAAGGGCTATTTTGGCCAGGTTAAGCATCTGGTTTAGAGTTCGAGTTAAGTGAAGGTTAGGAGACATGTTAAGGTTTAATGGTTAGTATTAAGAGCTGGGGAATGAATGTAGCAGTAGGTCATTAGTGTGCCCTCAGTGGAATAACAGCACAAGGCTGTAAGAGTGTGTGCGTGTGTGTGTGAGCATCTATATGACCCTATGAATACTAATGGGACCATCTGAACGCTGGCTGACCATGAGTGTTCTCCCCTTTGCTTCTCTTGATGTTTTCATCACTATGGTGGTGAACCTTGGTCCCACACACACACACACACATACTTGCAATGCCATTATTTCTGTGTTGGGACACATAAAGTGACATTGAAGTGTGCAGGTTAATGATCGGAGCGAGTGTCCCCGGCACCTACAAGCTCAGATACAGGCAGCTACATTTGTATACACACACAGAGATTAATTTCCCTATTATTGCTGTGGCCTTGGGCTTCATTTGTGTGTGTGTGTGTGTGTGTTTGTGTATCACATTAGCCAGCATTACTGTAATATCTTTGTGTAAAATAATGTGTTTGTTTTAGAACTCTGTGTGGCCTGCACATTCTGGGTTTATCTTTTTCTTGCAGGCTTAAACACACTGCCATGCTCGCAAACAGAGACCACTGTTTACTGGCTCATTAATACTGTATTTCTCTGGGATATGCATTTACATGTATGTACAGGATTTTTTTTTAACATTTCTTGACCCTGAATGCTTCCACCCTCTGATTCTTCAATGCTTTGGACAGTATGGGAGCAAGACCTCAGCCACTAACACACAAGTAGACTGTGCATACAAATAAGGGGTGCCATAAGCATACTTAAAACTGACAAAACACACTCTTACACAGAGGTGAGCCTCTTTAAAGCTAATGTAGCTTTAGTGTGAGTACCTGTAGGCTGAATAAGATAAATATTAACTCCATAACACACAGACCAGACACAGCTTTAGTATTGCTGGGGCTTAATATTATTGTTTTTAATAATAATGATACATAGCCTCTAAATTGAAATGTTTCCTCTTTGGACAGAAAACTGAAGAGTTTTAAAGGGACATACAGTAAATTCCAGATGAAAAGCTTTTTTAAAAAATTTCTAACCAACCCTTTTTTCTAAAACACATGGTATTCTGTGTTGTTATCATGCAAAACGGTATGAAACTAAACATAGTATTTGCAGCATTTCAGCTGCTTATTAGATGACGCCATTTTTCTGATATAACCACAGTGGTTAAGTTTTGGTTGAGTATGTTCATGAATTGTCACATATGCTCTATAAAAACATATATAACATACAATAACAACTCTAAACAACTAAATAAACTATATAAAGTGTTACCAAACATACAAAAACATACAAATGGGTGACACAACGGGATTGGAGATGGAGAGCCGGTTCCAGTTTAGAACCGGTTCCAAATTGACAGATCAATCAGAAGTGTGTGCATCCAAGTAGATCAATTCCTTCCGATCAATGGTGGTATGTTTTTCCGATATTTGTGGATTGCACAATGACGTCAATCTAATGCGCCTGCGCTGCTGGAAACTTGCAACAAGACGGAGTTATGGTAGAGAGGAAGAACCGGTCCATTGGCTTCATTCCATGAAGAAAGGTGACAACAGTGCTAGTTGTAATGTTTGTAAAATGTAGTAATGTTTCAAGTAAGGGTGAATAAAACCATCAAAGGTAAATATCCTCTGTTATAATAACATTAGCGCCACGCAGGCAGGTCGATTTTTTCTTTAACTAAAAGAACCTAAATGAAAATGAATGCTGTACAAATCTCTCTAATTTCAGTCATTTTAGATGATGACAGATGGAGGGTCAGATGTATAAAACTCAACACAAAACAAGAAACATGCATACGCAGTCTTTTTGTCAGAATTATAAAACCTCAGATATCTGTTCCCACCTGTTTTTCCCTCATATATCTCAATCATCCTGAAATTGTGTGCACCTGCATGAGCCTTATGATCTTTACCACAATGTACTTTAAATGGCTAGAAACACACCCCAGTTGCCTGATTTCCATATGAAGGATCAACATTTAGCTAAGTTTTGCGGAGAAATGGTGGAAGCATCGAAGTGCAGTTTTACGGATGTTGAACTGAAGGTAATGGTGGATCAAACTGATAAAAGAAAATGTGTGTTATTTGGATCCCTAAGCTCTGGCATGAACAATATAATGAAGCAAAATGAATAGCAGAAGGTAACAGAGGCACTGAATGCTGATAGTTCCCAGCCTTGGACCTTGGAGTAATGAAGTAATGGAGTGCTGAAGTAGCATTGCGTTGCTGTCCTAGAGTTTGAAGGTATGTGATTTTCTTTTTTTGGATGGTCATGATAAGTTACCTTAATATTATGTTATTTAAAAATGATTGATTCATTTTATTAAAAAAATAGGCAAGTCAGGCTCACCTGCTCATAAATCACACAAATCATCAAAGGAATATTAGAGGAAATGTTTCAGTACTGCTTTAAAATATTACACATCTCTTAATGCCTAGAATAAAACTGACATAATCAACAACACATATCATGTTTGAGCTTGTGTGATTTGCATATATAGAATTGAACACTGGCTGTAGATAGGTTCATTCTGGATTAGTATGTTATGTTCATAGTGAAAGTAGACAATTGTGATTTGTAACAGTAACAGGCAAGTTAAACACCAACTGCTGCAACTGTATTAGATTACAAATGTGTTTTGGTTAAAAATCTATGAATGGGCACAAATGATGTACTTTGCTTGAGGCTTTGTTTGCTGCTTAGCCATGTATCCACATGAATAAATGACATTGTCTCTCTTCTACACCTTCAGAAACCATTGCTTCCAAAAAACCATTAGCTACATGACTTCTCCTGGACTCAGCCAACACCAGAATGTTTCTAAACAAAACCCATCCAACCGGACGGTCCGGCCAATGAAACTCACATTACATAGCTAGTTCTCATTGTCAACATGTAAGCCAAGCTGTCATCATTTATAATTCATAGATACAAGGAACAATCAAGATATTGACGATGTGTTTGTCGTATTTGGACCCTGTTCCGCTGCATGCTGAGTTCACAAAAGTACATTTTCATGCAAATGAGAGGATTTTCTCTTTTGTCTTGCATACGATTATTTCTTGACTGTGTGAGCCGTTAGCATTGTGAACTCATCCAAACTGACTCATTCATTGTGGCTAATTTCTTTGTGTCTGAGCTGGATCTTGCTGCCAGTATTTGAAGCCCTACAGTGGGCAGATGATTGCCTTGGCCGAGACTATTACACTAATCTATCTACTCTGCTCTGCCAAGCCCTCAGCCCAGGGCGCCTGTGTGTGTGCCTGTGTGTTTCTGGGTTTCATTACACTTTCATTACACAAGAGAAAGTGTGTGTGTGCATGCTCCTCTATGAGTATGCATTTGTGTACCTATGTCTATATGTGTCTGCAGTATAGGTGCGTGTGTGTGTGTACACGGTACATGCATGTGTGTGAGTTCCATTACAGTAATTTTCTCCTCCCATGGCCACCTCTTCTTCCCAGTGGCTGTCACTGT